GAAGTTTTAAAACAAGGGGAGGGGGAAGGGAGAGGTGGTGGCCAAACCCCTTCATGTATTCCCTGGGGCTTTGGCCGGGTTCCCTCCCCAGGGGTTCCGTGACCCTGGTCCCTAGCGGATGGGGAGGTGGGGGGACTAAGAGGATGGGGGGGCAGGAACACAGAGACAAAGGCACAGCCTGGGAAGGAAGGGAGTGAAGGGAGGCAGCCACAAGGATACAGGAGGGGCAGTGGGCAGGGGGTTCTGAGGGCCTGCGGGTGCCCAGAGAGCCCTGAGGAATCGCCAGGTGCCTGGACCTTTGAGACTGAACCCTCCTGGGTCCCGGGGCATTCACCTAATTAGAGGGGGAGGCCCAGCCTCACCCTGGGAAGAGGCCTGCTGCTGCAGTGCCCCCCCACCCCGTCAAAGCCCCTCCCTGGCATCACCCCGGCTTAGGAAGGCGGGTCCCACGCGTGGAAGGCGCAGGTGTGGGGGATGGAAACAAACCTTGGAGGCCTGGCTGCTCCCTTCACAGCCCCTCCTCTCAGCTGCCCAGCGCTGCCCCTCCCCCTTCTGCTATCCTCTCCAGGCCGTGGGCCCCTGCCACCGCGGCCCCCTCCCACCGGGGCGTCCTGTCTGGACAGACCCCTAAGCAACCTAGAAACAGGATAACAACTGCACGCCCCCCTTGCCTCAGTTTCCCTGGATGGAGATGACTCTGGTCTCCTCCAGGGCAGGGACTGATGGGCTGCCGGTGAGCGGTGGCCAGGGCACGGGCTGGAGAGGAGGCCCGCAGCCGCATGGGGACGCAGACCACGGCCCCTGGGCGTCCGCACCAAACGGGGCAGAGGAGAGGAGAGCCTGGCACTGAGGGAAGTGGAGGAAGCCAAGGCTGGGCAGGTGGCTAAAGCTGACAGGAATCAACTGGGGGGGGCGGGCACCTGGTCCCCTGGGGGCCCTTGGGGGGCTCAAAGCCTGGGCCTGGGAGGAGGGTGGCCAGAAGGGGCTGAGCTTTCGGTGAGGGACGAGGGCCTGCTCCCTCAGAGAGAATCTGGGGGAGCAGGCTCTGCCCAGGAGGTGCGGACAAAGCGTTTGCAGAGCTGTGGGGGCTGGGGGCGCCCCGTCTCCGCCACAAGCACGGGCTGGGAAGGCAGAACCTCCCTGCTCACGGTCCACGGCCCCCTGAGCCCGGGCCCTGCTCCCACCCGGTGCCCCCCGACCTCCCTCCCCGG